AAAGTTACATTCTTGCCTAGATGATAGTTTTCCCAACTGCACATGGATTTTATTCTAATCTCCATTGATTTCCCAAAGCAACTGGTCATTTGCAGTCATTATGATGTCAACCTGTTGAGGTTTTTGTATAATATGCTTTCTACAAACTGGCTAGATTTTCCATCCCCATAATTTTGTATAAAAACATATACAAATTGCCCAGTTGGCATAACTCAGTGGTTGAGCATCGACCTATGAACCAGGAGGCCTCAGTTCGATTCCCAGTAAGGGCGGCTCGATCCCTGGTGTGAGGCATGCAGGGGACAGCAGATCAATGACTCTCTCTCTCTCTCTCATCACTGATGTTTCTCTCTCTCTCTCACTCTTTCTCTCTTTCTCTCTCTCTCCCTCTCTCTCTCTCTCCTTCTCACTTCTTCTCTGCCAAAAATAAAAATTTAAAACTTAGAAGAAAAGAATCCATATTCCTTTAAGTCAGGAGTGAGGAACGTCTGGCCCACAGGTCATATAAGGCCCGCAAAATCATTTGGTCTGACTCTGCCAAGGCATTAGGGGTGAGTTAATTAAATGTTTGACCAAGTATAGAAAGCTAATTTTTAAGTTAATAATTTTGTATGGCCCACGAATGATGTTATAAATATCCAAATGACCCTTGGTAGAAAAAAGGTTTCCCACCTCTGCTTTAATTGAATGCCTTAATAGTTCAGTTTGTTTCTTGGGGGACTTAAAATCAGCTTGTCAACACACAAAGTATTGTTTTTAAGCTTTTCAGATTTCCAGTAGCTCATCTATACCAGAAAGCTTATGTAATGGCAGCCAATTTGCAAACATCAAATTTAAGATTACAGCTTCAGCAAAACAGAAAAAGAGAAATTAAAGCTCACTTCAAGTACTTATGTTGGCAGAGACTGAACTTAATACTTAAGAAAAGACTGACACCAAGGGCTCCATTTTGCCATCGCTCATGTGCTGTATGTACCATTTTTCACATTACTTTAATCAAGAAACAGACATAATGAGTCTATCACTTAAGGTATGCAAATTCATTACTATTTCTTTGGAAAAGTTTGACATCTTGGCTCATGTCACATATTTTCAAACTAAGTATGAATTCTACTAAAAGGACAAAGAACAAAGAAACTAGAATAGCTTAGCTTTAGTAAATGTATATGTTCATGAAACAAGAAAACAACTAAGTGGGTCTTATAATATTAAACTGCTAGGGTCAATTTTGTAATCACTAGATCTTCAAGTTTCCTTCAAAATGTGAAGAAGAATCCTTACTCTACCCAAAGCAATCTACAGATTCAATGCAATCCCCATTAAAATACCTCCGGCATATTTCACAGACCTAGAACAAACTCCCCCAAAATTCATATGGAATAAAAAAAGACCCTGAATAGCAGCAAGAATCCTGAGAAAGAAGAACAAAGTTGGAGGGATCACAATACCAGATATCAAGCTATATTACAAAGCCACTGT